GAACTAGTTCGTCTGAGAAGTAACGGTAATCTGTGCACAATGCTGACTACATAGCCATCATCTTACTGTTGTTCTAAAGCTTGTGGATGTGGAGTTTTTAGTGCCATGACTCCCTGGAAAGAAACCGAATGTTATAGATAATAGACAACTCAAATTTCAAACTTTATGAGGACCCCACTTTTACTGCAGTCAGTTAAACAAGCAAATAAGTATAATGTTTTGTTTGATTTGGCTGCTATCTGTGCACAAGAGTTAAGCTAATAGACTATTGGTGGCATTCCAGAATTAATCTTTAATTACAAACGAAGACACTAGCCAGGATATGAAGGCCAGGATCTTATGCTTAAAGACTGGCGCATGTATGCACTGAAGAGCTATAGACAGATGGTGGCAGTATCCAGTTTCTTCTTCACGCTTCCCAATCAAACAACCATGCGGGGACATTCCTTACTATGAAACCACCGGAGATATTACATTAGAGTAGATTCAAAATTATTCGAAATGATCGAAAAAAGTACATTCCAATTAGACAACAAGCCTTTACCACGGGGAATCAAACCTCGATCCAAACCATGGTAGGCAAAGCCTAATCCAGCATATTGATTGAGTGGACTAAAGATAATAAATACATTAGAGTATGTCTAATGAGGGTATACATTTCAAAAATTATGCACCCATTTTTTTTTTCATAAATTATATTAAATAATGCGCTGTCTTTCCAAGCTTGTCTGAGTTGTGATTTTCTCTGTTTGGTGGCACAAATAAGTTATAGGTGTATTAGTTTCAAAATAAGATAAAAACTGACTTGCACAAACATGAAAACAGAACTGGTGCAATAATAAGAAAAGGGCTGCGCATAATCAAAATTTACATATCAGTCATTTTTCGTCACATCTACAGCGTTGTATTTTAGGTTAATGGAAATTCAATGTCGTTCAAAATTATTTAATAATTACTATATTAAGGAAGACTACTGCATGAATTGTGGAAATAAGTCAAACAACAATAATTTAAGAAAATTACATTAAACTCTGATTTCAGGTAAAATTACTTGATTAACGAAAACTGATAACAAATTAAGAGCTCAGATAAATACTACCATGTAATAAAGCAATATTTGTTTGGGAATAAAGAAAAGAAATTAGCCAATAAGATTAAATTTTTATAAAATTTTTGATCTTTATTACTGATTTATTGGAAAGAAGTAGTTTTTTTTTTAAAACCTAGAATATATTTATAGATTGAGACTGATTTATCTCGTGATCTAGATTGGAAAGCTTTGAAGATAAATAGTTTTCATTACATCAGCTAAAATTCATCACGCCAATTTGAATTTAGCAAACGTTGGTTTGAAATCATTGCAACTACTTTGATAAGCTCAGAAGAAATCAAAGAATTATACTAATGAGAACTTAGAAATCTGTTAAAACCATCAAACCGTTTATGAAATCAGAAAAGAGGAGACCTACAATAGATCAAATTATATATTGCAAGGAAATAAAAATTCTCAATAAAATATTTTCTTTTTTATGTTATTATTATTGAGCTACATTATCATTACTGCATATTTCAGTGAGATTGCGTGATGAAAAAGCAGTAATTTCCAAAAGTACCAGAAAATAATTAACGATAGAACAGGATTTATTTCGTGATCGAGGTTATGATGCGTTAAAGAGAAGTAGTTTTGATGATTATCCGTTCGAGAAATGATATTTGATTCCTCAACCGTTATGATACCATTGGTCACACCTTATTGGTGTAGTATATGTTGCTATCGATCGATTGAATCTATGAGATATAATAAGGAAATATTTTTTTTGGCCTTGTTCCCAACTGGACACACATGTAAACAGGTCTTCCGGCCTTGATAGCACACTTGAAGCTATTTCTGATGTAGTTGTCTTCGAAATTCAATTTGGGAGTGGTCATTTCTGTATGGAACCTTGGAATAGATGCATAAAGAAGTGTAAGGTCGAAATATTTTGTTTCGTCGTTTTTTATGGAGATGCCACGGAAAAAAAATCGATAACATCTCCTCATTCAAGTTTGAATTTCTCATTTGCATAAAGAAAAGTCAGTCGTTAGTTAAGATTGGGTTCGTAAATGAATAGTTGAAATGATGAACCAGTTCCGATAGAAATCGGTAAATAAAAGTAGGAAATGGAGAGAATTGGTTTCTTAGTTATTTATCAGGAAATTGATTACATGCATTCTGTATGGCCACCTACGTAATTGTTTGTGTTTATGATAACTTCCCGTAAAAAGAAAACTTAATATGGTTTCAACTACGATTATTTTTTTTCAGACCGTAAAAGTGCCTCAAGCGTTACTTGCTAATCATGTTGATTATTTATACGTATAAATCATTCCAAATATGCGAAAATTATATACTTTTTTGACTTGGTAAATAAAAATTTTGCATTTTCGCCATTTTTTAAACCACGTAAAATCCTCTCTAATTGTTTAAAATTTATTAAATGAAAACTGAAGAAGTTTACAACAGAATTGACTTGATTAAACCGACAGAGAAGATTTCATATTAAATGAAAAATAGATGGAACAAAAAACTGATTACTCATATTTATTTTACTTTTTTTTCGTCTCTTACAAGAATCAGATGTTTTAATAAATTTCGTCAAAATAGTTAGTCAAAATTCAATTAAAAGCACAGAGTTACTTAATTGAAATCTATATCTGTAAGTTTTTATATAGTCAGAATTAATTCTCAATATTTCTTTTACATACACTAAGAGGCTGTTTCATTGAATGAAACTTTGCAGATTTATGGAAGTAAGCAATAGCTGCCTCTAGAAAGCTAGTATAGTAAACATGTTCTAGAACCATTATTTCGTGTACATCGCAATCTGTATAAAACATCAAATCCAAGAATGCTGATGATTTGGAGTCGTGGTGGCTCAGAGGATAGAGCGCTTGCCTCCCAATGAGGAAACTCGGGTTCAAATTCCAGTGACGGCTGGTTAATACGAATTCCGTTCTAGGCTCGCACGGAACATAGTGCTGATGATATCCTCTGTGATTGAGGGATCATGTGTTACAATCTCTTTGCCGTCAGGCTAACCGTGGAAGGTTTTCATCTCCATGTAACACAAATTCAGGTTAGTTCTATCAAAAAGTCCTCCACGAAGACAGATTTCTCCCAATATTTGATCCATGAGTTCCCTTGTCTTCTAGATTGGTTTCAGACTTACAAGGATATGAAATTGAACAATAGTTGCCGTAATTTAATAATTGGGTTTTCAAATTTTTAATATGAAAATAGCAGTATTGAAAAAAATATTTTCCTCAATTTGGGCTTTTAGCGTTTCTTTCTTTCAACTTTCCAATTTACCATTTCTTTCAATTTTCCAATTACATTTAACGGATATACCTGCGACTCTTCAACCAAGTTAAACGATTGTAGATGATTTGTTATTTTGTTATATTTCCACCAGCCAAAGGCGTATTTATCTGTTTGGTTCCAAATATAGCTATGTCAGAAGATAGTCAATCAGAGCAGAAGACAATTAATTAAAGATTGCCAAGGTCTGTTAAAATTACATGTTTATATGTATCAGAACATATTAATATTAAGTAGGTGTCTTAACTCATCTCAAACTTAAAGTATAAGTGGGCTGTAAGCATAATTAAATAGCTCGTAATTGAATTTCCATCTGTTGTTGTCACTACACTGTATGAAGATTAAGGAATAAATTACACTAATATTTTACCGAAAAATCCATTTTACAAAAAACTCTGATATACCGTAATTTTTGCATTATGTTTTCTGTAAAATCACTGTAATTAAATAAATATTACTGTAAAAATAACGGTATAAAATGTCACAATAAAGTTACGGTAAAATGGATTTTATAGCAAAATGAATTTTACTGTAAAAGTGATGTTACGGATGCTGCTCTTTTTACCGTAATTTTTTACAGTGTGTGCTTGTAGATAGTCAAATGTGAAAATTGATGTAGATTTTTTCTGATTAACAACAGATTCCCCAATCATTTTTCGTTTCGTATTAGATAATTTTTTTTTATCTCACCCACCAAGGAAGTTTTGTTTGAGAGATTATTAAATCAATTTAAAAGAAATAAATTAAATATTAATATTCTGTACTGTTCCAGAATACAATTAATTCGAATTTAACATTAGAAAAAAATCTTGTTTAAATGTGCACCATAATATGCTGAACAAACAAGTTTGGAAATTCAGTAATTACTTAGAAAACTTTATTAAATAGTGTAATAAAAATTTAATTTAAATGTAAATTAACCGCATACTCGATTTCGGTACTTATTTTAAGGATTTGGGAAAATGATTGATTCTGCTATTTACAAGATGATTAGTATTTCAAACAAGTTTGATTTTGGTACATATTTTTAAAATTTTAAGATATTATTGATTTTTTGAAATTTTGGGCACATGAGATTTTGATACAATTATTTGAAAAGTTCAAGGCCATGATTGACTGTGGTACTTATTTTAGGAAATTTTGTTGTTGTTGTTGTTTCTAGTGACTCTTGGACAATCCAAGCTCAGCAACCATTGGACGTTTTGCGAATTAAGTCACGCCCTCTATTTAACAAGAGAACAACGCAAGTGTAAAAGTACGTCTTGAACCAAAATGTCAGGGAACCGCTCATTTGTCAATTCCTGAATTCATGTTTTAATTTAGACATGGATCATACGGGGAGAGAAATTTTCTCCTGATACCTGTTACCATGGCATTCCTCAGTAACCGACAACAAAACTTCAATTCCACAGATTTCACGAGCATATATTCAGTGGGTCTTAGCAGAATCGAGGACTGAACCCCGATTCCTTCCGACAGGGAATTTTGTGACATGATTAATTTTCGTTGTGTGATAGGATTGATTTTTCGGTATTTGGGTCAAAATAATGAAGTCTGTCTCAGCTGAGTTTTCATCTTGAAGGAAAAATTAATTATATAGCAAATAAACTACAACAGTAAAGTAATAAATCTATAATTAGATAAAATAGCATCTTTATTTTAATTTTTGGATACTAAAAACAGCAAAAATAAGTAATACAGTTTTAAAAATGTGGCACTGACTAGACACAAATGATATATTACTGTTGTGAAGAATATACCAAGAAAATATTTTACATTTAACAGATGAAATTTTGATTTTTCTTTAACAAACACCAAATTCAACATCACCATATAAAACAGTAAACCAAATTATACAATTCAAAATCATTTCTCAAACATAATTACAAACAAATAATGAAATATTTAACAAATGCAATAAATTTGCATCATAAATTTTTAAATGAATGATTTACATTTTGATTTTTGTTGCTCAATGGACGGAAGAAAGTTTGCTCAATGTTTTGATTCCACAAAAATGACCAAACTGCTCACAGAGATTTACATTAAGTAAAACACGCATTCGCAAAGTGTAAAAGTTGTATAAAAATAGATGGCACAGTTTTCTTTGTACAAATGAAGTAAAGAGATCGTACAAAATATTTTTTTTCTTTTTACGTACAAAAAGAAAAGGCACATTTTGTAAAGAACATATTTGTCTTTAGCAAATGTCATAAAAATATTCCAAAAATGATATTTAGCACTAGAATTTGTTTAACAATTATGTATTTTCAAAACAATTAATTGAATTTTTAACAAATATACTGATGTGAAGATGAATAATCTTTTCATTTTCTCTATAAGGGCCAAACATGTTTAACAATATATCCAGTGAAAATACGTCCACAAATCCGATAATAAAATATCATTTTAACAATTATCAAGAGATTAACAATATATTACTTTAACAAGAAAGACGCATTTGAATTGTATGACATAATTTCATTATTTTGATTTAATCTCTTTGTTTGATTTAACATTTTGATCGAAATTTGATTTTCGTTCTGATATGATAATTGGTTTAATATCATAATTTCACTGGTTAAGTTTGAATAACCTGTAAAAATATTTCCTAACAAAAATATATCTATATACAAAAAGGTTAAGAGTGTATAATTTTTACAGTGACTGTTACAGCTATTTTGAATATTTTTCTATTCTGATATAAAATTTTTGCTTAATCTCTTCATTTTGATTTGATATAATTGCTGTTATTTTAGTATGATTTATTATAGCAATGTTTAATTAAATTTTCATTTTAATTTCCAGTGGAAGTTTGATATCCCTAGTTAAGTTTAAAATTTTCATTCTATTTTACCTTTAAGATCTATGAGAAATAATGAAAAATGCAGTTAATTTAATCCCATGAAAATATTTAAATTAATAAGATCATAACAAGGCTTTATTTTAAATTGATCTTACTTTATTCAGATTACCATTTTGATACTTTATTAATATTCGTTTTAAAAAAAATAATTGATTTCGCCTGCAATTTTTCCAGAGAGAACTATGTACTTTTCACATAAAATAGGCTAAAAAGAACGTAATAAAATTTATAGTGAAATAAATATTACATTGAAATTTGATTTTCGCCCATCTTCAAAAATTACATACTAGGAAACAACATAATTAAAAATGGAATGATAATGATTTTTTTACGTTGTCTTTAAGCAAAGACTAACATAAAATAAAAACTAGTATTTACACATTTCATAAAACAATCATCTAATATTTACTACACCCCTCCAGTCAAAAAAAAGTGAGTTCTAAGAGTACAAGTGTACATCAAAATAAGTGCGCTGTAGATATGTGCTTGAGTTTTACAGTCCATACAAGACACTAGTCCATAAAAAAACATCGTAATCACAATTTTTATAATTTTCCCCCTGATACTTTGGTTCAGTTTCTTTGAGAAATCACCGGTAGCCCTTCCAAAAACCGAAGAGCTGATAATGACGGTGGTATCATACCACCAGCTTCGCGATATCTTAGCATGACTTCATCTAGCATGCCAAGTAGCATTGGCGGCGGAGGTGTGGGTGAAGTGGTAGCTAAATCTGGTGATCTCTCCCGTTTGATGGAACTCACAGTTTCTGTTGGAGATTCTGCAGTTGGTGACCTGGTTGAGTCTCTATCATCTTCCCTGGTAGGGCTTTCGAATTTCTTTGTTAATGCTATCCCGTTGCTATTTTGGTAGCATGGTTGGCAATATCCGTGAGTCAATTTTTTAGCAGCGGATGGAAAACCTTTGCCACATTGTGTGCATTTTTCTTGTTGTTCACCTAATGAAAAAAAAAAGGAAATTATAAAAAACATGTTACACAAATTTCATGTAGATAATTAAACTAAGTATTATATAGATCAAACTAAATACCCGTATTCTGTACGGGATGAAAAAAAAAAGACGTAAGTAATCAATAAATCATAACTGAACTATACTACGGACTCATACTCAAAACTGACAGGCATGTACCATCACAGTAATTAAAACAATACTAGTTTCACATTTTTTATTTATCTGTTATAAATTTTTCTGCTTGCCAGTGGCTTTGCGTTATTAGATTAAGCTAAACGCGTTTGCAATTGTTCAATCCATACAAAATAATGGTTAACTCCATTTAATAATATTTTGCATTATGTTGTTTGAAGTCAATTCATAATTGCCAAAATTTACCTCGATCAAGCAATTTTTTTCGGGTATTTATCCCTTTCGAATGCCCGAAAAAAACCACTTCTACAGTATCTCTATTAAAACTACACATTATTGGTTCAATTTTAATATGTACCAAATCTACTAATTATATTTATAAGTATTTTTAAAAGAATTAAATTAACTTCGATTACCGTAATACATCATTGGTGTCAACAATATCATTGGTGATTTTTTAGCTTCTCCAGGACGAAATAAATTGGTACCATTTATGCTTAAATTTAGCTAGTTTTTTTTTTATTCAGTTGGAAAATACTATCAAAATTAATTGGGCACCATATATATCAATAGTAAATGGTGATTTACTGCGCTTTTTTGACTTTTAAGAAAAAAAAGAAGATAAAAAGAACTAAATTAAATTATGAAATGACTAAATAAAAATCAATGTATTAATTATAAAAGTTGATTCAAATTATCTTTATTATCTTTAAACTCGTATCAATTTTAATGGAGATTGAATCTATGTGAGTGAAAAGCTTTTCAAAATTCAGTTTTAGCACTTATGCAAAAAAATCTCACCGCAAAATATAACAATCCATCACTGGTGAAAAATAATAGCTACATTTGAATAAAAAAATAATGTAAAACATTTCGGTCCTACCTTGTTTAAAAAATGAGGAAAAAATCGTACAAGGGTTCTACAAAATATAGATCAAGGTTGGTTATGGCCCTATCTGTGCCAGCCTGTGAGATGTTCCGTTTTTTTGTTCGATTTTTATCATGTTACATGTTAAAGGAGCGCCTACAAGATGTTTATTTGATGATATGACATTGACTCGTCACAGTACACGCCTTTCTTAAACGAGAAAAAAAATGCGTCAAGAATATTAATTGAGAAAATAAAAAATGCCTTCATAGTCTTTTCATTGCTGTTACTGAGCCTGAAATCGATGTAAAAGAATGCCGATTGATTGATTAGATGCAATTTTTCTTTCATAGATCAGAAAAAAATAGGTTGGAATACTAATTTTTAAAAAAAATATATGTATGGGGCTATTATTTTAAATTTTTTTTTGCGAATTAAACGTTTAATTTCATAACCAGCTCGAATTTCCAAACCAGCTCATGTTCAAAATTTAGCAATGTGATAAAGCACAAATAAACCATACATTTATGTTTTTTTCCACGGTTTCTCTTGCGTTAATCATAGATAGGAAAGTTACGAATTTTTCACTTGGGTAGCTGAATCTCGTTTCGTTAATTTTAACGAAAAGGGGCCGTATAAATAATGCGTGAGCACCTATAGGGGAAGGGGTTTGTGATATACATATTTTCGTTGACGAAAAGGAAAGATAGAGAATAAGCAGTGGTTACGTAAGATAATAAAATCCTATTATTTTTCATCGATTTTTTTTTATTTTTATTACAAAATATGGGAAAAATGCAATTTGAAATTTTTGAAAAAGTGAAATTTGGGGAAAGAAAATACTGGAAAAAATCTCTTCAAGGAGTTTTAAATTTTATAAAATAAATTTAAAAGTAAATTTTGTTCTGATCAAAATTAAATTTTAATATGAATTTTCCCCAAAAATTCTTAAAATTTGACTACTTTAGTAAAAATAAAAGTTCAAGCAGAAAATAAGGGGATGGAGTACATTTTAGTAACCCTAGTCCAATGGATTCATTAACGACCGAAATTAGTTACTATCTATTTCCAAATTGGTTACCTTTTTTCCTGCGCCAGATTTTAATTGTATATAAGCATAAGAAATCTTATTTATCAAAAAATAGAATAAGATAAAATAAAGAAAATAGTAAAGTCAAACGCTTTTCTAGAATAAACCTCTATCTCTCTATTGACACAGCATATTCTATGTTGCGTTTTTAGAATATATTGCTATTTCCGAATAAATAGTATAAATATAATATTTTTTTATACAATAAAATCTGAATCTCTGTATTAAAATGAAAATTGCACATTAAGTTTGTGGAACAAATTACTATTTCTAAATATTTATTATAAGCATAATATTTTTTTTCTAAAATAATCTATTAATAAAATATTTTTATGCCAATCTCTTCATTAATTGAGCAAATTTTAAGTTGTATTATTCGAATAAATTACTATTTCTGGATATTTATTATAAATATAATATTTTTGCATATAATAAATCTAAATTTCTTCTACTACAGAACAAATTTTTATTTTCATTGTTACAATAATTATAAATATTTGTAAAATATAATGTATTTTATAGTATAGTATTTATATTAACAGAACAAAAATGTAATCGGTGTTATAAGAATTGATTACTCTTTCTGAATATTTATAATTAAGATTTTTTTTACAAATAGTGAAATCTGAATCTCTGTTATAGCAGACCAAATTGAAAGTTTTATTTTCAGATTAAAATACTATTTCTGAGCATTGATTATGAATACAATATTTTTCATAATTTTTAATCCACTGTATTTACCGTGCAAAATGTAATATACAATAAAGTAGTTGGCGTTATGAAAATAATTAGAATCAAATTGTTTTTGCGAAGGATCTGAATCAAGGTTGCATATTCACAGAGGTCAAAACAGCTGACTTTTAAAAATTGCTTTATGTTTTATTCATATGAGAACTTTTTTCATTAATTGGTATTATAGTGATCGAAATCAATATAATGCACATGCGCATTTTCATTATTTCGACTCAACGCATGCTTGATTTCGCAAAACAAAAATCCCATGGAAGATTTCTTACTGAATTACCTTAGAAACTGCGTTGAGATCTGCAATTATCTCTAATTATTTCCTTGCGATTTCAAATCGATAAAATATTTCTTCACATCATCCGATTTGCTTTTTCTACGTCCTATCAAACGAACATATCAATGATAGACGTGTATGGAATCTTTAACGCTTTTAAAAAATGAATAAAAAAAAAATTGAAAAAATTAATGGGCTGGACCTTTTACAGAAATGGAAGAAGAAGCAAGGAAAAAAATTAGAACGTTCTGATGGTCATGTATTAGAACTAAAAGTGGGTCAATGTTTAAGATTTGCAGTATTATATCTTACTTTGCAGTCCATAATTTACTATTTAATATGGTTCTGACATATTAATATATTTTTAATGGAGATGTCTAAATCAAGATTCTTGAATATTGAAGAGGAAAAGATAAGGAGTAGTTTTTGTACTGATTACTTTAAAAAGTGACATTAAAGATCATTGAAAGTGTAGTAAATTAGATTTTGTGAATTCTCAGTCGTAAATACGTCAATAATACAGAAAAACAAAACGTTTTGTTTTATTTAAATTTTTTTTAAATGTCACTAATTCGTTGTTTTCATGTAAAGTGTTAAAAATGCATACTCGTTAAAATCTTTTTGCAAAATGGCTTTTATTAACTTTTGTTTTCTTCTTTAAAAATTAAGTTTTAAATGCAAGTCAAGTTTAGAAGAATCTATTAACTTTTTTTTCTTTAATTAGTTGCAAAAAACCATTGCTGAAATAATTGATGCGAGAATTAGCTGAAATAATTGATGTGAAGGATGTGAGAATTAGAGTTATTTTAAAATATGAGTAGAATAAAGAAGAATAGTAAATGAATAAATGGATGAATATAAATTAATGAAATAAATGAAATGACTGAATGGAATGAATGAATAAATGAAATGAAAGAATAAATGAATCAAGAATAGCTATTAGCTAAAAAATTTAATATAGCTAGCTAACAAATTGATGTATTAGATATTTTAAAAAAATTTTTGTTGGATAAAAATATTTATTTAATAGAAGTTTTTTTCAGTGTATGAGAAATTTGAAAGTGATTAAAAATGTACATGCTTAGTTAATATTCATGCTAGTAAAATGTAATTTTTATTTTAAAAGTTTGAAAATTTATATAACAATGATACTAGCTTAAAATTTTTCGTAAACCTACTACTTTTTTTTAAGATTAATTCTTGAAAATATGAGTTAAATGTTAGTGCAATTATAATTTTAAGAAACAGTAAAGCGTTGCCAAAAATTATCCATGTTCATTAAACATTTATTTTTTACTTAAATAAGAAAAAAATGAAACTTTCATTTATATTAAAGAAAGACACTAATTTATTTTTAAAATCAAATTATTTCTAAGTTAATACAAGATATTTATTGCTTATCATTTTTTTTTAAAAAAAAAAGCTGCTTCTTTGAAATTTAATGAGAGCAAATATTTTTCTCCCTTATGGTTACAATTTTTGTACTTCACATGTGTCAGTAATTCGAGATTTAATTATTGATAATGACATGACCCTAGTAAGCAAAATGTAACGCAGCAACTAGTGCTTAAAGAGACATAATTATTGAGAAAACTTGCTAAAACTGCACTCTTAAAAACAGTATTTAAAAGATTCTTATCTTCCACGGAAGGATGAGAACGAATAAAATAAAAAATAATAATAAATGCACATGCTAATATTTTATTAATGTTAGTAAAATGTAATTTTTATTTTAAAAGCATAAAAATTTAAATATCAATGACATTAAGATTGTAATTTCCAGAATTTAAGACTTTCCGTAAACGTATTGTTATTTTAAAATTGATTATTGACAATCCCAGTTGAGTGTTAATGTAATTACATTTCACGAAACCTTACAGCGTTGCCAAAAATATCCAAACAAACAACAACAAATCAAAATTTAATTTTAGAATGGAATTAGTTAATACCAGATATTTATCATTTTATCACTCTTAAAACGTCGTTTCTCTAAAATTTATAGAGAGAAAATTTTGAAATGCACTTTCAAATACAATTCTAAAACATGTTTACATCTTTTGTACTTTACCTGTGTTAATAATTAATTTATATTAACATGACCCTAGTAAACTAAATATAAATCTCTTAAAAAAAAACAACAACCAGTGTTTAAAGGGACATAATTACTAAGAAGACTCGCTAAAAGGCACTTTTAAAAACAGTCTTTAAAAGATTCTTAGCTTCTACGCATGGATGAAAACGAAAAAAAAAAAAAGAGATGAAAATGAAAAAAAAATGAGTTGAAAGTAAAAGAGGGAAAAAAAACTACTTTTAAAAGCAGTAAATAGCAAAAGTTAAACATCCTATTATAGCTCCCGACTCGGGGGTTCAAGTTAAAATAAAAACACAAAAAACCGGTTATTATGTAAATAACAGGTAAAAGGTCGAGGTGTTATATGGATTTTTTCTTCCCATCGCATGTAACAAGTAATAGAGGTATCTGCCAACAGCTGGTACTGTTAGTTCTCTTCAAAGAGTAAGGAAAAACTCATTAGTGGATGTTTGTTATGCTTCATCGCCAAAGAAACTAGTTAATTCATATTAAGGACTGCTAAAGTTCTTGCTTAACTGGCGATTATTATTTAATTTGCAGTTTGATCATCTTATTTTGACATTTGAATGGACGTTGGCGTTTCAATGGCGGCAAAATCAAGGTGAAGTTCGCCAGCTTTGACGTAATATTCTTAGAAATAATAATAAGAAAAACGAAAAACTATCTTTTGAGAAGTTTTAAAGAACTGCAATTTAAAAAGGCCAATGGTAGGATGTTTAGTCTTGGTGGAATCTTTATGCATGAAGAATTTTTTTGGGTTTCTTAAAACTATTATAAACTTTATTTCAAATTTTTTGAAATATAAAACTATGTTGTTTTTGAGGCAATTTATCAGCAAAATAACAAAAAATAGATACCTATTTGTCAACTATATAAGATGATTAAATAGATGATCTTAAAATGCTTTAAGATATCACTTACGGTTACATAAAAACATTTTTATATTTTTCCGTTTTTCACTGGAAACTTTACGTTTCATAGTTCAAATTACTTTTGTATCTTCAGATTCACGTCGGTCAAGTTTGGAAAATGGGTTCCCGTTTTTGAGTGCTCGAAACATGTCGACTTTTACTTTCAATTTGTACATTTTTGAAGCGATACTCATTAGTCAAGGACTACTTTTTTTATTTCGAATTTTCAGATAAGTTTTAATTGTTTCCTTCGCTTTTGCGCATGTTAATTACAGCTAAGCGAAAATTATTATTTTTTTTTAAGAAAAAGATACACATTTTTAATGACTCGAAATTGAATAGGTCATTCTGGTTTTTTTTTTTGTTTTGTTATTATCATATTTTTTGATATTTTTTTCTCCAATGAAAAAAAAAGAAAAAAAAATGATGTAAACTAACACAAGCATATAAAATTTTTATTTTTAATCTCTATAAAATGAAAACATTTTCTCACATTCTAACATGTAAATAAGAATTATAAATTTATATTTCTTGCTAAACAAGCTGTGCATATTTTTGATTACCAATTGATATATTTTATTGCCTATTTTTTTTAATAAAATGAATTCTTAATAATGGAACATAAAATTAGAAATTAATACAAGAACTGGAATTACTTAAATTTCAGTAAAATGAAGTTAATAATTTTTATTGCATGTTTTTATTTGCAACTAAAGTTGAATCAATTAATTATTAAACAGTCAATCAACATCAAATTAGTTAGCAAAATAAAAGATTTAACAACTTTTCGCTAAAACCTTTTTGCAAAAGTGAAGAAAAAATCGGCTTATATCTATACATCTAACGAAACACGAAAAGTTACAACCAATTGCGTTTAATAGGCAATATTAGAATAATTTTATTCTTATGTATAATTAATTCAATTCATACTAAATAGACGCCTTCTACATATAATAGTTATTCTAGTCTTAGAAAATTAAATTATTCTTATTGATGATGCTTGAGCTACTGAATTAAATAGTTCTCAAGTTTTGAAGTGTACTCATAAATTAATATGATAGCTGGTACAAATAAAACAATAATATGAAGCAGCTGACCACTGCTGATACGAGCCACTCCTCAAATCCAGCATCTAATTATATCACATCGATGACTTGTTGCCAATTTGCCAAGTGAAATGTTAATGTAAAAGAAGCCGTAAAAAAATAATGATAAAAAATCTTAATAATTCTAATTGATTCTTTTGCCATGATATGGATTAAACGTACCTGTCGTATAAAATTGAAAAAAATGAAAACAACAAAGTAAGGATGCTTATAAAGAGGAATTGATGTATGAGAATTGATTTTCATTTTTAATCAATTCAATAGGATTAATATGGTGACGAACTTGAATTTCAATGCACTTCCATTTCCTATCCAAAGGCAATGGAATAAATCCACTTCTTGATGGAACTACCAATCGAACTTCTGTCAAGCCCTACAGGGCTCACAATTTATTTCATTTATTCAATTCGAATTTCATAAGTAACTTTTTTTGATAGAGATACGCCCTTTAAACTTTTACTGTAGACTCATCATTCATTGAATGATTGTAATTGTATTTTTTTGTTGACGCAATGGTCTTAAATTCACAATCCTGATGAATTATTAATATGCCTCGATACTATGTGTGAACGTTCTTTATCAGGTTAAGACAATCAGGTTTTGTTCTAAGGCCGAAAGCTTTTCACACATTCTTTGCTTCAAAATTAATTGAAGATATTTATGAGGAGCAAATCAATTTCCTATTTGGAAAGAAATAGTTTTAATTTTATGAATGCTATGAAGGTTAGAGTTAAGCAAATATCCCGGTGTTATAAACATTCTTTCAGAATAATAATTTAGGTTTTGGTCTCGTAAAATGTTCCTTGAAAAGATTTAGATTAGTTTTGGGGTTTTATGTATCTTTAAACTGATTTCAGAAGCAAGTACTATTTTTTTTTTAACTTGAAACTTTACTTTTTTAGTGAAACAAGAGTGATATTCAGACTTCAAAGATGACATTTTCTTAATAGATTAAATTTAAAAAGTGAGAAAAGTTAAATTACAATCATAATTTGCAAACAAATGTTTACAATTGAAATGAATTGGTTCTTACCTTCATGCGTTTTTAAATGTGCTCTTAAATTGCAAGCCAACGCAAACCGCTTATGACAGTGCTTGCAGGAATGTGGTTTATCACCTAAAAATAAAAATTACTTATATAACATTCAATGCAACGTTTCAGCAAACAATTTCTTTAAAATATAATTTATGTTTTGTAATATATTGGTTTATATTAAATAATACATAGGTTATTAATATATAATTCATGTTATTCATTGTAAGAAAATTACACAAACGATTCACATCGCCCCAATGGCTTCAAACGTATTCTTAGAAATTTGCTAGAATCATACCTCTTTTCAAACTACTAAAGCTGCATTTTAAAAACAAATGTTAGACAAAAGAATTTTCAGGAAAGTAATGATTTTCACATATTTAGTTATACATGAAATATATTCTCTATTAACTTATAACTATCTCTTCATTATTGTAGTTTAGTTTATTACTTATTTAAAATGTTTTTCGAAACTAGATTTTAACGAATCAGTTTGATTGAGTGAAACAAAGTACGAAGTATCCCATGTGTATAACATAATTTTGATATATCTATTAACTGTGTTAGGCGAATTATAATCCTTACAGTACCACTCAAAGATTTCAAAATTTTATGTTACACAGTCATTAAACCCCTCATAAATATTATATTTTATTCTAGTGTAAAAACCTATTTTGTAACACAATTTACCATATTCAGCAGAGTTATATATTAATTATTTCTTTCATCAAAAATATCCCCTTTCAAAATGATTACTTCTTATAATGGTAGACATTTCCTTTAAAAGTTTTTTTAAAAAAACATGAACCCAAGGCTATTCAAATTAAATTGAATCACCTTCTCCTGCAGATGATTCGGGCTAGTTAAATTTATATTCCTGATAACTTGCCCAAATAATTTACTTAACACCATGTGCTTTTAGAAATGTTTCAATTAACACCATGTGTATTTTACAAATGTTTCAGCTCACACCATATGTATTTTACATATGATTCACTTAGCTTAGCACCATGTGTATTTGGCAAATTATTCATTCAACACACTGTGTATTTTACATAGTGCTCAAACTTATTATCATTCATAGTGATTAAAACTTAGCGCTAAAATTTTGTCTTTTTAACAACGTGGTGAATTATATATTTTGATTTTTTTTTTACAATTAGCATTTAATATCGAAGTGAATAAAAGTAATTTTTCAATAATAACTTCATGAATATTGAATTGAAGTAGTCTATATTGGCTGTTTTTGACAAAGAAAAATAAAGTAAAGAATGCATTATTTATAAAATACATCTTACTATTGCGTATGGTATGATTTTTTTGAGTCAAAATGAAGCCCAATGGATTAAAAAAGTAACCTTTCATCAATATGAATAAATATAAAACTAAACTTATATTTTCATGAATCAGATAAAGCCTTACAATACGTTAAATATATGTTTTCGAAATTTACATCAAAAGTAAGCTATAGACTTTAAATTATTTTATAATATTATCCTAACATCATTCCAGTTATTTACGCTTTTAATTCAAGATTGGAATGTTATATATTTCCTTTAAGTATCTTTATATATATATCCTTATATATTATGTTATTACATGTTATATATATATATATATATATATCTTTTACAACGAGGATACATTGTTTGGGAAAATTTTAAGAATATAAGGGTCAAATACACTTTTACAAAAGACTAAATTTTTGCTCTAGTTTTTATTTGATTTGAAAAGCTTCTGTAAAACCTTACGGCAAAATTGAGACAGATTCTAGATCAGTAAAAAATAAAACTTAAAAATATTTATTGTGATTAACGTCTCTGATAAATATTTTCTTTCCTCGGATTTATTGTTTAAACCGAATAATATGTCATATAAGAAGCCAAGTAGGTTGACTTTGTGACCAAGTTAATCTTTTTACTTGTTTTACCAGAGTACGCAGTGATAAGACCTTAACAAAGAGCTGATATTTCGATAACACAATCAAAATCTTTCACGCCTTTCAGTTTAAAATAATAAAAAATAAAAATAATCCTTTGCTGTGACAAGTAAAATATGGTACCACGCCCCAATTTCGTAACATCTTCGACAAGGAAGAAGACTTTCAATGTTTTTCAAAGCAATGCCAAATGTACCCTCGAGGTTCGAAAACATAGCACACCGTGACTCTCTTGTTTTCTTGTGCTTTATATTTTTTCCTAAGCGAGAAAAATTCGTTTGTATTTCTTTCATTATTAAACGACGCATATAAGTCATAAGAATAAGTATTTTCAAACTTTTTTTTGTACATAATTGTTAACTTGGTTACTCTTTCTAACGTTGCCAATAAGTAATGTGGATTAAATATAACAAGTAGTGAAAATGAAAACTTCGTTACCTCATCAGGATCAGTACTTAATTAGTACTATCATAAATTAATCTTTCTTTTTGGTAGCGTCATGATATATTTAATATTTCTATCATGATTAAATATACAATAAGAGATGAATATAGCGTGGCGTGTAACCTAGATAAGACTTTTTTTCTTATAAGAGAAAGTACTAATCAGTAGCAGACTAATCAGTCACTGACATCAGTTAAAATAATTTAGAAAATTATTCTAGAGTGATAAAGATTAGTTTATAGTTAGTTTAATAGACTGACCGTGGTTAATCTATTAAAATAATAAATCGATATGATCGATATTTGTAAGCAACAAAAATAAAGTTTTTAATTATAAAGATATGTATATAAAAAAAACTTTATTCCTATTACTCTAAGTAAAAAAACCCTCTTAAAATAAAGTTATTTTTTCACTTCTTATTATAATATAAAAAAAACGGTTTAGTTCATTCATTATTGAATAGAATTGAAAGTATGGTTTATTAAAACTAGGTCCAAAAAGGACATGCTTCGCCAAACACATGGTTTTATAGTTTATCAGGATAAGAATGTAAACAGCCATAAAAACTAATACAGATAATACATTATTGTTCCAAACTTGATAAGTTAGTCTATAATTGTAGATTTATGGGTCTGTCATTACGTATAAATAATATGGAATGAAAAATTTCCAGTAGTATAAATTAAAGTTCATTATCATATCAGAGCAAGTATGTGGTCAATCTCAAGAATTATTGCAAATGAAACATTTTCCAAGCTTTAGATTTCTATCTTTATGCATAAATATATGAACTAAACATAATAATAATTAAAGTAACTATTATTTTTTTTCTCATCAGGATAAGTTAGAGTTATTATTCATGCTGTAAAAATAAAACAAAGTAAATAATCTTGAATTTTCTAGATAAATGCATTTATTCCGATCTTTAACAATTAACAATCGTGAATAAGATGTATGTAAAGAAGTTTTAATGTAAGTATTATGTTCTGTTTCTGGGGTAAATAAGGCAGCGTAAAAACGCTTTTTCTAGGGAAAATGCTGAGATTTCAATTTTTTTTATAATTGAGCCAAGCAACTAAGAGTTAATAAACATATTTATAAACGTTTTTTTTTAAATTTTTTATTTTTGAAAATTGGATCTAATTGCAACTAAAAAATTTTCATTCCTTCAATTCAAAAATTTTCAAAAAAATTTCACTGCAGTAGTTTATTTGGCAGGTTGCAGTATCTAAGCTGAAAGTTGATGTTACAGCAAAAAACCTGATAGTAAAGCTCTTTTTATTTTAAAATTATAAAAATTATTGAGGTCATGAAAGAATTACCTTGTACATATAAAAACAAGTATTGAAATGTTTTGCCCGAAACAGTTGCATTAAATAGTAGAGAAAAAAAATGTCAATCTCGTTTCTCAAATAATTTTAAGTGATGAAAATTAATCAAATTTATAGCTCATTTATTTTCTCCCATAACAAGAAAGTTACTCTTGAAAATACATGTGTTTATTATACAACAAGACCAAAATATTTTCTTCACATATTTCTGCCTTATCAGTCACATTTTGAAGGTTAAATAAATGTATCTATTTTCCGACAAGTCTGACAGCTCCATACATCATCAGATTATAAACCTAAAGTAGCCAATGTTGCTTCGATATCAGCCATATTTATCACCTTTAAAAGTACTTAACTTCCTGAGGTTAACAGAAGCTTGAAATATATCGTATCGTTAACATAACTTCAAGAAAAAATCCATCTCACTATGAAAATCAATATTTTCCGCCTATAACTTTGCAACAAACATTGTTATAATTCATAATGAATTTTATTTTTTAACAACAGTTCGGAAAGTTTAAACTAATACATTTATTTTAGTTTTTCTTAAAAAGTACTAAAATATTTTAAGTTTAGAAAGGAAAAATGTAGGTTTGGAAAGAATACTAAAGTTATTTAATTTCATAATGCCTATAGCAATTTATTTGAAGGATACTTATCCCTTTGATTTAAAATAAACTGTAAAATGATTTATTAACGAATCGGCTTGATTTTAACAAAAGTTAATAAATAAATATTTATGTCTGAAATTGCTAATTTTTTTTTAATTATCTGCATTATTTACGAATAATTTACTTTAAAGAAATGCATAAATAATTTGATAATTAGTCTATTTTAAATGCATACGTTTGTCATTTAGGTTCATAATATTCATTTTTTTAATGGGTTCAATTTTTTTGAAAACAAACATTAAATATAATGATTTAAATAATATTTCTTAATTGCAAAATTATTTTATCCTTATAAGCGAAATATAACTATTTGGGAAGCCAATCAATAATTTAAGATACCAATCAATTTAAATAAATTTAAAGACTCAGATGTGCATAAAAGCATTTGTAATCATATTAAATATTTTACAACACTCAATTAATCAAATGTAAGTATGTATTGCTTAATTTTATATTTACATGTTCAAATTTCGTGATATTTACTACTGATGAGATTGTAATAATTTTTAAATATCACATTTTTAAATTGTTGCTGTTGTTGTGTCTATGGATACAGTGCTAGTGTAAAAATTAGAGTCCTCCAAAAGACTTGATAACAAGTCATAGAAGAGGGGTGCCATTTTTAAAGTTCATTTATTAAATAGCAAAATACAACAGCTTTGCTACTGAGTTAATTAATCAATCCTAAGTAACTTT